GGTGGGGGAGTTGAGGGGGGGTGGGATAGACACATCGCTGTGCCCAAGAGAGACAGCTGGGCCCTCATTTCATTAAAGGGAGCGGGCATGAGCACTGGATTTCTTGGGATGTTTTCAGGGCCGGATTAAGGCCCGGGTGCTAATGGCCAGTGCCTCCAGCTCCTGTGTTATGGGACTAAGCAGAATCTCAGCTTTCATTAAAAAAACAAAACAAAAAATCCAGTAACTTTCTAACCTTCATGCGGGTGAAGAAAAGCTTGAACACATGACCTGAGTGTAAATAATGCAATGGTGTCTTCCTGAGTCTGAAGAGAGCCTGAAACAACCGGTCTGAGGGGTGTAAGCTGCCCCCTTCTATCTCAATGGGATATTAATTCCAAGCCCCACTGCTCTGGGTGGCTCTGTCAACACCATCCCAGCAAGGAACTGGGTGTGTGGCAGAAGGGGAGGAGTTCACTGGGCCTGGCCCCCCTCATCTACTCTAGCTGCTGGAGTAAATATTGAGGGACCCACCTGTGGCTCCTGGGGCGGGGGGGCAGAAGGGGATTCCATGGTGCTATCCCTGGCTGTCTGGGATGGGAAGGGGAGCCCTCTCATCGCCACACCAAGTGGGAGGTAGGGACAGAGACACCAGGGCCTGAGGTTACTTTAATCTGGGCCTGGGTGTTTGACTCCATCGCCCCACTCTGCTCCCAGAGAGGCTGGGCTTTGTACACAGAGCTAGAGAGATTTGCTTGTATAGGGAGGCTGGAATGTGCAGGCAAGGTAGCCCCTCTTCATCCCATCCTGGTGTGAACAGGTGGAGAGAAGGCACTTCCCTCCTTCTCCAGCAGGTGTAACCCTTTCTATGCTAGATGGCATTTACATCTTGCTTATTTGGCTTGAGTCAGGACTGCAGGATGGGGTCCTGTGACGCACACACCCATGAAAAGGTGGTGGAAACCCCGTCATGCAAGTCATTTAAAACGGAGCTAGAAAATGCTGGAGAACTTAATGTGAAGAACTATATCTGGTGTCAGAGGCTGGACTGGATGATACGAGAGATCTTTATTCATCTCAAATATTGGTAATAAGTTGATCAGTGCATGCACTTCCACCCTCTATATAGTTCTATATTATTATGGAACCAGGGGTCTTCTCATGAAATTAATAGGCAGCAGGTTTAAAACAAACAAAAGGAAATATTTCTTCACACAACACCACACTCATTGGAGCTCGTTGCCAGAGGATGTTGTGAAGGCCAAAACTATAACATGGTTCAAAAAAGAACTAGATAAGTTCATGGAGGATAGGTCCATAAGTGGCTCATGCTCTGAGTGTCTCTGGTCTCTGTTTGCCAGACGCTGGGAGTGGAAGAGAGGGTTGGATCACTCAATGTTCGGTTCATTCCTTTGGAAGCACCTGGCATTGGCCACTGTCAGAAGACAGGATACTGGGCTAGATGGACCCATTATGGCCATTCTTATACAGTACATTAGGACCTTTCATATGTTTTGACTGGTATATATAGAAAACAGCAGAGAATGTTCAAAGGTTGGACGTATACTATGGAGACGTGCTGTTTAGTCTTTGTCCCCCTTCTCATTTTAAAAACAAACACATAAACATCCGTGGCGATCTGACCTGGGGTTTTCTTCATTCTTTTGCTTTTTCTTTCCTGTAGAGGGCTTTTGACAGCTTACAATGCGTTGCTGGGATAGCGTCCACAGGGACTGGTTTCCGTTGTGGTTGGCCTTCGTAATTTATGAACATAAAAAGTTATTGTACGGGGATGGACATCATGGGGGAAATTCTCATCAACATTTGTAAAGCCACCATCTCATAGTGTTCTCAAGCTCTCCCTAAAAACCCACCCCTGCCATGATTCCTGCAAATCACGCCCCTCTAGCTTTGGTCATATCACTATGCTAGAACTTCTATTTTTCTGCTAAACTCTGTTTTGTTACACCATCCTCCTCCAACCTGTTGCTTTGGCTTGCCCCATCCGTTGAGACTGGTCTGACATCTAGGCCTTGACCCTGCAAAGAATGACCCCATGCACTTATCTTTATGCAAGGTGAGTGGTCCCGCTGACTTCAAAGGGCCTACTCATCATTCCTTTGAAGCCCATGACAAAACTTTCACCAGCTTCAGTGGTGCTGGGATATCATCCATTGCATATAAAGTTAAGTATGTTTTTCCAAGATCGGGGCCTTAGACTGTAAGCTCTTCAAGGCAGCATCTGCTTTTCATGTTGTACAGCACCTAGCCCAACAGGGCCCTGATCCTGGTTTGGGGTTCCCAGACACTAATGTAAACACAATAAATAGCGAGGCCAATATCACAAGCATTACAGAGTCAGCTATACAATCAGATGTTCTCTCTTGACTCTCAATCTCTTTGAGGTTTAGACAAGTAAAAGGACCAAGGAAATGATGAAAGAGAGAGAGAGAAAAAATAAAGGACAAGTTACCTGCATAGAGAATCAGTTACCTTCCTCTCTCCTCACCCCCACAGCAAACCCCTTGCCTCCAGACTCTCTAATTAATAGCTAATAATGCTCTAAATCAGTAGGCATATAAGGCATTGTAGTATGAGCCAGCTACATTTTAGACAAATAATCTGGGATGAACTTTTTAAAACCTGGGTCTAGTTACAATCTGTAGTAGGTGCTGGGGGAATAGGGCATACAAGAAAATACATCAGTTTAAAATAAACATTGAACCACATAAAAACCTCCTATATAGGGTATTTTCTGTGTGTTTTACATTATGATTTCTAGTGGTGTTTCAACCTACTTTCTGGACCTTATTGTGGGATTTCTCCCTAGCTGACTGAAAGCAACAGTGTCAAAATCTCTGACTGAAACAAATTTGCTAACATTTAAATATTGGCTGATATCAAATAAATAATAAGATAAGAAACACAGTGATCTCCAGCCCTCATCCACCTCTGAGGTGAACATGATAAGGGAAAGTGTTGCAGGTCAGATCCTACTTTTAGATCGTTAACACCCATTTTTACCTCTGTTTTAGCTAAACAAAAATAACCTACAAATACTCTTTAAACTAAAAAACTGTTATTCTGCCATTGTAGAGGGGCTCACTGTATCTGCTTATAGGGAGGTCATCACCCTAGCATCTTTGCTTCTCACAGTCATTCATGGATTTTATGCTCACAACACCCCTGCCAATTAGGGAGATATAATCCCCATTTCCAGATGGGAAACTGAGGCAGAAGGTGGACAAAGTCTATGACCGAGCCTGGAACTGAGCCCACCTCTCTCCAGTCCCAATTAGTACCTTGTCTACTAGACCATCTTTCCTACCCTTGCTCAGTGCTTTGGTTCATTGCTAGACTGTACATTGCAATCTACTCTCAAGATTATAGACAAGCTCATAGCATTTGAATGATCTGCCACTCAAATTATTTGAGTTCCATTTCTACCTGCCATGTTCTATGTCGATATAAAATCAGGAACTATAATGCATAATGTCCACCATCCTTTCTTAATTTAATGGTCCCTCTGCCTATTGTATTACATATATAGTCTGTAATATTACATATGAGATTTACATACAAAGTTTGTAAATGTTTTATTTAAATGCAATAGATACAGTTGAAAAGTATTTTTTCCCGTGAGGACAGACACTGTTATTTATTGATCGTTCATTAAGACACTGAAAACCAACAGGGATACGTCTCTCTTCTTTCAGTATGCGGGGTCCTTTCATGTACACAGCATTGCCATGTATGACAGTCTACACTGCTAGACGCCCGCTCCTGCGCTCCTTATTCAGGCATTGTGGAGACCGGAGTAACGAGCCCAGGGTCGGGCCCTAGGTGTTCAAATAAGCAGAGGCTTCTCTTTAATTTGTAAATATTTTGGGATCCGCGTGGAGCTATTTACCTCGCGTCGTACAATCCCACTCGGTGCGGTCAATTCCACCTTTGGAAATGCCAATTCCCCCCCTCTTTGAACAACCCCTTGCAATTAATACAAGCGACAGAGACTTCGAATTACTTGTTTACATATAAACGCACAATCGTTAACACTCCCCCCTCCCAGCAAGGTGAGGGACACGAATTATAAACTCCGTCGCTCTGAAACCTGCTCAATTCACTCCGTTGTCCACACTTATCTCAGCAGCCCTCGCACGAGGCTGCACAAAATAAATAACTCAAACGTTGGAGACGGGTTTTGTTTTTCTTACTTTGATTTTTACCCTTCCCCCGCTTGACTTGTGCCCCTTCCAATGTCTCCTATGTTAAATCGTTTAAAGACCGAGGACCGTGTATCATTCATGTAACAAGAGATCGCTCGCTAGACGCGTTCTCCTTCCCGCTGTTGCGCGCCGCGGTAAAGTTAAATGTGTTTTTTTTTTTGCCGAGCTGGTTTTCTGCCGGAGAAAATCATTACAAAATCCACATGAACTGAAAACCATTCATACTTATACGCGAACGGATTGTCTAGTTCCGTCCGGCACCACCAAGAAACCCCCGCAGCAGTCAGCAGGTGTACAGATTTCCCTAAAAGGGAGCAGATCCATTGTTGTCCAATGTCTGTATTCGTTTAGAAGACAGCGTGCGTGTAGATATTTGCACAGCCTTCCTCTGTTGCTTCCACACCTGCTGGGTAAAACAGCCGAACACCGAGGAAACGTTTGAAAAAAATTAAAGCGATCGAATATCACAGCGCGACAGCTCGCGAAAGCTTTTTACAAACTGAAATGTACAAACGATTCAAGTAACTACCCCGCCAGGTCCATTTATTCGCGCGTCCACCAAAAGCTGCTACCGCGTGTTTTCACTCGGCCGATGTATTTGTTTTTTGCTTTTTATCGGCAACGCTTTACGAAACGAAATGTAAACGATTCTCGGGCTACCGAGGCAAAGCGGGACATTTCCCTCCAGCTTCCAATGTTTGGAGGCAGAACACTGCCCCCCCCAACCCCCGCCCAGGGGCCAGGTTTTAAATACGGTTTAAAGCCACCTGTCCCCGGCGCTGGCTGTGAAGACAGACTCGATGATGGTCACCATCCTATTCTTATCTCCTTTATCTGGTTTAATGGTCTCTTTCTGAAATCAGGGTCCCTGCTTCGAGCCCAATTCCCCCAGACGGCCATGCCCGGGCGCGTAATTGACAAAGTGCCGGCGGGGGGGGGGCGGTTTCCTCCCCCTAGAGAGGCACATTAGTCGCTGGGTGTATTTCGGGGGGTCTCCCCCCACCCCACCCCGGCTGCTGCCAATCCGCGGTCCCCATCCGCCCGGCCGGGGGCTGCCGGAGAAGCCCCACCCCGCGCACACGGCACCTGGGGCAGGTCGGGCACCTCCGCCCCGGGGAGCCTCCCGCGGCTCTGCCGGCGGCGGGGGCCGGGCTCGGGGGTCGGCGGGGGCCGGGCTCGGGGGTGGGTGGGCCCCGGTCCCAGGCGGCGAGGGGCCGGCAGGGTGGCGCCAGCCGGCGGGGATATAAGGCCGGCGGGCTGAGCCCCCCGGGGGAGCTCCCCCGCCGGCCCCCTCGGCGCCTTATGAACCCGGCCGGCTTCTCCTACTTCCCGGCCATGGGCACCCCGCCGCCCGGCTCCCCCCTCGCCGCCCAGCCGGAGCCCGGGAGCCCGGAGGCGCCGCCGCCGCCGCCGCCCGCCCCGGAGGCCGGCTCGTCGGGCGGCGGGCGGCGGCGCAAGCGGCCGGTGCCGCGGGGCAAGCCGCCCTACAGCTACATCGCGCTGATCGCCATGGCCCTGGCCCACGCGGCCGAGCGGCGCCTGACGCTGGGCGGCATCTACCGCTTCATCACCGAGCGCTTCCCCTTCTACCGCGAGAACCCCAAGAAGTGGCAGAACAGCATCCGCCACAACCTCACCCTCAACGACTGCTTCGTCAAGGTGCCGCGCGAGCCGGGCCGCCCGGGCAAGGGCAACTACTGGGCGCTGGACCCGGCGGCCGAGGACATGTTCGACAACGGCAGCTTCCTCCGCCGCAGGAAGCGCTTCAAGCGGGCCGACCTGGCCGCCTACCCGGCCTACCTGCCGGCCGCCGCCGCCTCGGCCTTCAGCCCGGCCAACGCCGCCGCGCCGCCGCCGCCGCCGCCCGCCCTCTACGCGCCCGCCGGCTACAGCCCGCCGCTGCCCGCCGGCGCCCCCTACCCGCGGGGCTTCACCATCGACAGCCTCATGGGCGGCGCCGAGCTGGCCCCGCCGCCGGGCGTGGAGCTGGGCCCCGGCCCCGAGCCGCCCCCCGCCGCCTTCCCGCCCGCCGGCCTGCTGGGCCGGGCCTACCCCTACTCCGCCTCGCCGCCGCCCCACCTGCCCGGGCCCCCCGGCGGCTACTCCCCGCCCAGCGGCGCCCCGCTCTACGGCGCCGCCGGCCGGCTGGGCCTGCAGCCCGGGCGCTCCTGCGCCGAGCCCCCCGAGCCGCTGCTGGCGCTGGCCGGGCCGCAGTTCGGCCCCAGCCCCGCCTACGGGCGGCAGCCCGGCTTCGCCTCGGGCCTGGAGCGGTACATGTGACTCCGGCGCGCTCTCCCCGGGCCTGCGCTGCGAGTCGGAGCAAGAGCCATGGGCAGACCTTTCCCGTGCTGATGGGGGACGCACACGCTGCACTTGAATGGCATCTCTCTCTCGCTCGCGCGCTCTCGCTCTTTTTTTGTGTTGTTTTTTTTTTTACTGTACATATGTAGACTATTTCATCCTAACACTGTACGGGCCGCATAATGCGTGGTGCTGCATGGCGCATTGTTGCATGGCACATGAGCTATAAAACACCGTCGTGTACTGTGCGTATGCATTGTACTGTCTCCTGTGCGCCACGGATTGCGTACCGCACCGGAGTGCGCTGTGTCATGCCGCCTAGCGCCTCGCACAAGCACTCTGTCCTGCAACACTAAACTGTGTTATGCACGATTCATTGTATAACACGTTGGAGTGCATTGTGTGTGAACTATGATTCAGGGGACCATGCGTTTAGCCGTGCACTGTGTAAAGCGTTGTGTAAGGCGCGGTTACCTTGTAGATTTGTAAACATTCCGGGATGTCCCATATTTTTCTCTCCTTGTTGGGTTCTTAACCTGTAACCAGACAGAGAGTTAGCAAAACTACTAGTTGTGGGATATTTTATTACTATTTAAGACTTTACCTTTTTCTTCCCCTGTGGGAAAAAAAAATATCTTTTTACTGTTTTTTTTTAAAATAACTTTTATTGTTAGAAAGGATTTTAAAAAATAAATCTTTCCTTTCAACTGTTTAACTGCTCTTTTTTTAGAAATGGTTTTGATGTGGTTTAAAAATAGAATATATCACATTTTTTCAACAAGCTGAAGAGAACTCAGCTGATTCATATGCAAATCATAACACTGTTTTAATTATGCCAAGTGCCTTGTGCTTTCATTTTTTAGGACTCTTTTTCAGGTCTATACTCTTACTGTTTCAAATCTGAAGCCTGTTTTTAAATACTGATGGTAATTCGCCGTTGAACAGCTTCCTAAAGGATGTGATACATTAAGGACATAAGAACGGCCAGACTGGGTCAGACCAAAGGTCAATCTAGCCCAGGATCCTGTCTTCCGACAGTGGCCAATGCCAGGTGCCCCAGAGGGAATGAACAGAACAGGGAATCATCAAGGGATCCCTCCCCTGTCACCCATTCCCAGCTTCTGGCAAACAGAGGCTAAGGACACCATCCCTGCCCATCCTGGCTAATAACCATTGATGGACCTATCCTCCATGAATTTATCTAGTTCTTATTTGAACCCTGTTATAGGCCATTCCCTGGAATCTTGAAAATGAGATTGGATTCATTTCTGTAAGGTGTGCTCTATTTAGCTACAATTGACTTATGTAGTAGAGAGATTTCAGAGAAGCAGCCGTGTTAGTCTGTATCCGCAAAAAGAAAAGGATTTCTTGTGGCACCTTAGAGACTAACAAATTTATATGAGCATAAGGTTTCGCAAGCTACAGCTCACTTTATTGGATACATGCAGTGGAAAATACAGTGGGGAGATTTTATATACACAGAAAACATGAAACAATGGGTGTTACCATACACACTGTAACAAGCGTGATCAGGTAAGGTGAGCTATTACCAGTAGGAGAGAAAAAAAAAACTTTTGTAGTGATAATCAAGGTGGGCCATTTCCAGCAGCTGACAAGAGTTTATATAGTAGAGAGAATAATTCTTGCCACTGCAGGAGGTCTTGCAGTTGAAATTGTATGGCCTGTGTTATACAGGAGGATAGACTCACTAGATGATCACGATGGTCCCTTTTGACCTTTAAATATTGAATCTGCGCACTGGCCGGTCCTTTGCCCTTTATTTATTGGGCTATATCCTGGCATGGATTTTTGAGGCGAATTCCCCACTGCTATTCCCCCTTTGTTTTTTCCCTAAATTTTCCTACATGTAAATGGGTAAGAATGGGATTTTTCTCCTTGTTTTAAAAGACAGGATTTATCTGCCACCCTGATTTACGGGAGCATTTGCATTGGAGCTGATTCGGTGAGTTAGTGTTCTGGGATGGGGCTCTTGACTCCTTTGAATTCCCTGCCTAAGGGAGTTATATGCCCAAATCCCAATTGACTTTCAGTGGAAATTTGCACACCTAATTCCCATAGGCCCTTTTTGAAAATCCCATTCCTTATCTTTAGTTTAACCCTGTACAAACCTGTACTTGCCTGGATACACCAGTGTTTTAATGAATGATAATCTGTGAGGGTCTCTCTTCTGGGGTGTTTGATTAGCGTGTTCTGCATGCCATTTAGAAATTGACCTTCATGTAACCCAGTCCACCTTCAGGTGGGTGCACCTAGCAATTTAGGAACCTGATCACTGGTTAGTTAGGTGGCTTTATCTGCCTGTTTAGGTCAGGCTCTCCGATTATCTGTTATCTCTCATCACTAGTCCCTCCTCACTCAGATTCAGCTCTTCAGACTCTTAGGTATTTATACTGCTGCCCATCATTATAGTATCTATGTGTCTTCCTCATAAAATCAATTAGCAGTAGCCAAATCTGTAGAGGACTTGGTGGAACAGAGCAACTTTCTAATTCTTGGATCATACTTACTCTTTTTTTTTTACTGATTGGGAGGAAAAAACAAAATCCGGAGGGGTATTTAGACTATTTGTAAAATAAATCCATAAAGCTAACAACAAAAAGATATTTTATACGCAACAGAAGTTTGAAAAGGTTCAGTCTCATGTAAACAATATTATCTGCATATCATTCCAAAGTTTATTTTTTCTGTTTTTTAAATTTTTGAATGGGCTAGAGAAAGGTAAAATGATCTTTCGGAAGAAAAATAATTAAAGGACTCTTGTAAATACGGCGTTGTGGGATGTAGGACCTGAGCCTACAATCTTTGTACAGGCAAAACTGCTTTGAAGTCTGTGGAAGTTTTGCCTTCGTAAGCAGTGGGGGATCAGAACCATACGCTTTCCTGATTCTTTAGCAATTATAGAGCCTACCTGCTTCCATTGAAGTGAATGGGACTTTAATGGGAACAGGATCAGGACCTTCTGAAGTTGTGGAAATGAAAGGTGGGTTTGCATGGCAGATGGAAGCATTTCTTGGAGGATTAGATAAAAAGGACCTGGCTTGAAAAGAAGTCAAGGTGGAGGGATGGGGTAGGTACACATATGTACAGCTCTCTGGGAACAATTTGATGAAACTCTGGACCAAACATGTTCCTCGCTGTTATACTAGCCTGAAATGGTGCTATCAGAATCAAGGGATAATCTGTGAGATTTCTGCACAGGGAGCCAAGTGGCAAATGCTGCCCTAGGTGGGAAGTGATGGGGAAAGGGTGGATGATAAGTCGATTCAGTTCCAGTCATCCAGAAGCAGCAGGAAGGAATCTTACAGGAGTCGTTTGTTGGGATCCGCGGGGAAACTTCTGAAAGGGCTATTCAAGTTCTTTGCAGCTTTGGATTTCAGCTCAAGTGCCTTTGGAGCCAGCTGGGCTCAGGGTGTCTGAGGAGGTGAGCTATCTCTCCCTCCTATCTTTCAGCTGTCTCTTCCTCACACCATTGAAGTTGCATTTGGGGACACTTAACTTCTAAAAAATCAAACTGGGATATGAGCTGGAGTTTGCAGTAGGCCTGTTGCAACCCTGCACATGTACAAGCCATGATATTTGATTCCCTTAACGGGATACACTTACTGAAGGCTTAGCGGGAGTCTTTCCAGGCTCAGAAATCTAGCCACGGACTTTCCATCAGACCAATAAGCATCAGAGCTGTTTGAATTCCAGAAAGTGTGGCTTGTGGAATAAACAGCTGACTGAGAAAACAAACCAGTGACATTTGTCAGATAATAAAGCCGACAAATATTTATTCAACCACCTCTCTTAATAATAATCTGTTCGGGAGATTCAAACCTCACCAAAGGCATGATCCAAAGTCCACTGTAGTCAGTGGAAAGATTCTCCACTGATTTCAAATGGCTCAGTCCTTATATTTACAAATAAAATGAAAATCATAATGGGTGAAGCTCTTTTTTAAAATTCTTCTTATTATTATTTATTATTAATCATAGGGTGAGGGAGACTGTAGCCACTTGTATTTTGGACTGTTGTTAAACTAATGTGTTCAGAGTATTTTCTTGATTAAGTTAATGTATCACAACTAGGCTTTTAAGCTTTCATTTCAAAGGCTTGTTTACAGTTAGGATGAATCTAGCAAATGAGTTGGATTAAAATGTCATGCAGGGCATAAGCCTTGCAGGGCCATGGTGGATTTGAGCTTTGCAAAGTTTACATGTGGCCCACCAGACCTCATTTGCTTTAGTGGCTTATTTTGAATTCTCCTCTGTATGACTTCAATGAAACAGGAGCAATTATCACCGGTTGTGAAACCAAGTCTCTGATAAAATCCTCCCCTCTTTAGTTAGCACTATCCACGGAATTCGGGCTGTCTTAAGTAATGACACTCCAAAATCATCTGATCCTTCTGCCATTGAAGTGATTGGCAAAACCCCTCATTGATTTCAGTGGGAGCGGGACGGAACCCACCGAAGAATGAAAAATGCATAGACTCCTAGGACCACTGAAAGTAGCCAGGGGCCAGATTTTTAAAGATATTGAAGCACCAAACATCCTTAAATTCAGTGAGAGTTAGGTGCCCAAATGCCTTTGAGGATATAGGCACTAGTGGGATTTTCAAAAGGTCGCGATTGAAATTGATGGGAGTTAGGTGCCTAGGTTACTTTTGAAAATCACACTAGGCACCTAAATACCTTTAAAAAATCTGTCCCTAAGACGAGGCATTGTAAAGTCCTTTTAGTATTGTATCGAATACAGGATCTGATCCTGCTCCCACTGGAGTCAATGAGAATTTTGCCACTTGTAATCAGAGCAGAAGCAGGTCTTAAATGTTTGACCTTCATTTCAAAAGTGACTAGTGATTTGGGGGTGACCCCTTTTGGGGGGTACTCAGCTTGAGACACCTTAAAGCAGTTACCTATGGGTCAAAACACATAACTGGAAATCTTCAGTGGCTTATATTTCGAGCCTGTAAATGCTGTTTTCAAAGGGTGAGGCAGTTGTCTTCATAACGCCTTTTGCACCTGGAAATAGTCTACTCCTAACTAATAAAAAAAGGGGAAGGTTTGAAAAATTCCCTCCTGACACTGTGTGAAGTA